AAAAAAAAAAAAAGAAAAGAAGAAAAATCACAATAGATGTCAGATGAGACTCTGAAATTTGCTCTTGAATGGAGAGTAGCTAAAGTCAATGGAAGAAATGATAAAAGAGGTGAACAGAACGTTTCCAAGGGTGGCTCAAGAAGACAAAGTATTATAATGAAATGTGCAAAGATCTGGATTTAGAAAATTAAAAGGTAAAACACACTTGGCACTTCTCAAGCTGAAAGAACTAAAGAAAAAATGAAAGCCTTGAGTTGCAATACTGAAGAATTTTATGGGCAAAATATTGAACGATGCAAATAAATAAACAACACTGCTGTTGAGTTGGATCCAACTAATATTGACCCCTCCTTGGGTTTCCAAGATGGTGTCACTACAGAAGTAGATTGCCCAATCTTCTTTCCAAGGAGTGGCTGGCAGGTTTGAACCACCAGCCTTCTGGTTAGCAGCCAAATGCCGTAGGTACTACACCACCAGAGCTCTTATTGAACAATGCAGGAAGCATCAAAAGAAGATGGAATACTGAGAGTCCCTGTGGCTAAAAGAGTTGTTTGACATTCATCTGTTTCAGGAGGTAGCATATGATCAAGAACTAATGGTATTGAAGGAAGAAATCCAAGCTGCACTGAAGTAACTGGTGAAAAACAAGGCTCCAGGAATTGATGGAATATCCATTGAGATGTTTCAACAAATGGATATAGCACTGGAAGTGCTTAGTTGTTTATGCCAAGAAACTTGGAAGACAGCTACTTAGCCAACTGAGTAGAAGAGTTGTATATTTGAGCCCATTCCAAAGAAAGATGATCCAACAAAATGTGGAAATTATCGAATAGTAACAATATTATACGCAAGTAAAGTTTTGCCTAAGATAATCGAAAAACAGTTGGAGTAGTATATTAATAGGGAACTGCCAGAAATTCATTCCTGATTCAGAAGAGGGCGCGAAATGAGGGATATAATTACTGATGTCAGATGGATCTTGGCTGAAAGCAAAGAATACCAGAAAGATGTTTTGCTGACTATAAAAAGACATCTGACTGTCTGCATCATAATGAATTATGGATATCATTGCAAAGAATGGGAATTCCCAGAACACTTAGTTGTGCTCATGAGGAACCTGTACATACATAGACCTAGAGGCAGTCATTCGAACAGAACAAGGGGATACTGAATCATTTAAAATCAGGAAAGGTGTGTGTCAAGGTTGTATCCTTTCATGATACTTATTCAATCTGTATACTGAGCAAATAATCTGAGAGACTAGACTACATGAAGAAGAACACAGCATCAGGATGGGAGGAAGACTAACAACCTGCAACATACAGATGACACAACCTGGCTTGCTGAAAGTAAAGATGACTTGAAGCATTTACTGATGAAAATAAAAAAAACTACAGTCTTCAGTATGGATTACACTTAAAGAAAACAAAAATCTTCACAACTGGACCAATAAGCAACATCATGATAAATGGAGAAAAGATTGAAGTTGTCAAAGATTTCATTTTACTTCGGTCCACAATCAACACCCATGGAAGCAAGAGTCAAGAAATTGGACGTCATAGTGCTCTGGGCAAATCTGCTGAAAAAGATTTCTTTAAAGTTTTGAAAAGCAAAGATGTCACTTTGGAGACTAAGGCTCCCCTACCTTACAAACCAAACCAAACCAAACCAAACTCACTGCCATCGAGTTGGATCCGACTCATAGAGACCCCTCCTTGGGTTTCTGAGGTGGTAGGTATCTCTATGGAAGTAGATTGCCCAACCTTCCTTCCGGGGAGTGGCTGGTGGGTTTGAACTGCCAGCCTTCTGGTTAGCAGTCAAATGTCTTAGGCACTATGCCACCAGAACACCTACCTTAAGCCATGGTATTTTCAGTCACCTCATGTGCATGTGAAAGCTGGACAATGAATAAGGAAGACCTAAGAATAGTTGATGCCTTTGAATTATAGTTGACGAAGAATACTGCAAATACCAAGGACTGCCAGAAGAGGGAACAAAATCTGCCTTGGAGAAAGTACAGGGAATGCTTCTTAGAAGCAAGTAGGGCAAGAATTGGCCTGTAGTACTTTGGGAGCTCTGGTAGCATAGTGGCTAAGTCACTTGACTGCTAACCAGAAGGCTGGCGGTTCAAACCCACCAGCCACTCCTCGGAAGGAAGGTTGGGCATTCCTACTTCCGTAGTGATACTGCCTCGGAAACCCAAGGAGGGGTCGCTATGAGTTGGGGCCGACTCGATGGCAAACAACAACAACAACTTTGGTCAAAGGACAAGGATATCATGCTTGCTAAAGTAGAACAACAACAAACAAAACCAGACTCACTGCCATTGAGTCATTCTGACCCAAGGTAACCCCATTGGGTTTCCAAGGCAGTAAATCTTTACAGAAGTAGATTGCCCCATCTTCTTTCTGCACAGCAGCAGGTGGGTTTGAACCACCAACCTTCTGGTTGCAGTCAAATGCCTTAGAACTATATCACTAGAGCTCCTTTGCTAAAGCAGAAGGTCAGTGTAAAAGGGGAAGTCCTTTGCTAAAGTAGAAAGTCAGTGTAAAAGGGGAAGACCTTCAATGAGATGGATTGACACAGTGGTTGCAATGATGGGCTCAAACATAGCAAAGATTGTGAGGGGCGCAGGACTGGCCAGTGTTTTGTTCCGTTGTATGTAGGGTTGCTGCCTCAGAGCTGAGTCAACAGCAACAACAACACATCTCAAAAGAGACTGACTTAAGACACACCCTACCCTAATAATGTCTCATTAACAAAACAAAGGCAATCTATTTCCAAATAGGATTAGGAAGAACCTCAGATATAGGGGTTAGGATTTACAACTGATATTTTTCTAGGACACAATCCAATCCATAACATTCGGTGACATAATTCAGTCTGTTAAAATAGTCAAATAAAAAATTGAATTCTTTCTGTATGATAATTTGTTAAGTACTTATCCCTTCCTACTCTCCCTTACCCTAAACGTTGGCACTTCAGACCACTGTGGTGGATAAAAATAAACCTGACCTCCGTGATTCTCAATGGAGAGAGCACCTGCATGCACCTTTGGAGTGGGGACATGAGGACTAGTATGAGGGTGCATCAGAGTCTCCAGGTGTGGTGTTTCACCTATTCAGTACCTGCCTACCATAGCAATCACTGATGTGAGGAGCTGCCACTACCAAAGAGCTTGTCATTCATCGCCAGAAAGAGCTGAGAATGTCTGTTTTAGATCACCTTCAGTCTTTAGGTTACAAATGCCTGATAAACTTGCACATTTGCACAATCTGTCCTTTGCGTAGGTATTTCAGAACATATTTTGATAGACCTGTTGCTATTGTTCTTCATAAAAAATGGAAGTAATTTCATGCTTATAGTTAATATTAGGAGCTCTGGTAGCATAGTGCCTAAGGCACTTGACTGCTAACCAGAAGGCTGGCGGTTCAAACCCACCAGCCATTCCTTGGAAGGAAGGTTGGGCATTCCTACTTCCGTAGTGATACTGCCTCGGAAACCCAAGGAGGGGTCGCTCTGAGTCGGGGGCGACTGATGGCAAACAACAACAACAACTTAGTTAATATGCATGAAATTACTTCCATTTTTTATGAAGAACAATAGCAACAGGTCTATCAAAGTATGTTCTGAAATGCCTATATTTAATGTGGAAAGCTCTGGTAGCATAGTGCCTAAGACACTTGACTGCTAACCAGAAGGCTGGTGGTTCAAACCCACCAGCCACTCCTCGCAAGGAAGATGGGACAATCTACTTCCGTAGTGATACTGCCTCGGAAACCCAAGGAGGGGTCGCTGTGAGTCGGGTCTGACCAACGGCACATAACAACAACAACATAGTTAATATGAGATCTTTATCTGCATTTAAGTTTCTTTTTTTTTTTTCTTTTGGCTTGTTAGGGTTTTTTTAATGCCCTCCGAACTGAACTTGCCACATACCCAGGTATAACAATTTCTACCATTTGCCCAGGACCTGTGCAGTCAAATATTGTGAAGAATGCCTTAACTGAAGAAACCACAAAGGTAAACACTTTAGTAGATACATATTTGTGTTGGAATAATGACATTTTAGGGTTTTCATGTTAGAACTGCTTATGAATTTACAAAAAGGGCAGGGAGGCCACATGTTCTGACCTCCTCTAATCCCACAAGAGGAAGACAGGATTACCAGCAGTAACCCAAGGCCTATTACTGCAAGGCCAGACATGCTGCCTCCCTCCAGCCCTTTCACCAGCTGTTCCTCCCAAAGCACCCACCACCTCTCTCCTGGGTTCGATAATTCGCTGCAGTGGCCACACAGAGCTCACAGATTATGGGGTTTATTAGGGAAGCACCACAGGTTACGATTCAAGTTCAGGAAAAATGCTCAGCCTCTCTCCCAGCCCACCATCCCTCAGCCAACAGTCTCTCACAGTCTCTTTCCCAGCAGTGCTGGTCCCTCGGTGTCTCATTCAGCAGTGCATGTCTCTTGTGTCTCTTTCGGCAGCAGTCTTCCTCAACCAGCAGTCAGAGAGAGTTCTGCTCTAGGAGGCCTCCTTTTGAGGCTGGCAGGGTGGTCAAACTAGCCAATCATAGCATCAGAACTCTAAGCACCTGAGAGAGAGTGGGCACCTCCCAGAACAGTGTTTTGTGCCACTCCGAACAGAAATACTCCAGGTGGACAACTTCAGCAATCAGGAGCTCCTCAGTTGCTCATAGAAAATCCCACCTTGGAGTTTACAAAGACTTATGGGTAGAAAAGCCACACTAAGTAATTTACTACACTGCAGAATTATTCCCAATACTTATGACATTACAAAAATCGTGAAGGTGAGCTGAGTGCTTTGGTATCTACTTTTGATAAAGGCTAGTGAAATTGCTAAGCTATCACTTAGAAGTAATTCACTTATGTGGGTTATTAATATTTAAGAAACCCAATTTTGACCAATTTACTAATTTTAGCAACAATGAAAAAGGTCTATGTTGCTGAATTTTACTACATTAAATCTTACTGGGATTTTGAGGATTCTGGTGAAGTTTCTTGGAAAAAGCTTTGTTGAATTGTGGTTATATTAGGTTAGCCTCACCATGGCCTGTACTCCCCTCAGCTCACAGATTACACAGTGATCTATCAAATGAATTGCAGATGTCTCCAAAAGAAGAATCCAATATTGCTAAGTAATACAGAAACCCACTCAGGACCATGAACCTTCTTCTTCTATGAAAATTCATTTTTGCTAGGCATAAATACAAATATACTTCTATATAAATGGTCACAGATAAAATTTATATTTTCACATTTTCTGTAGCGGCTTCAAGGTAGAATGCAAAATGCACCCAGCTGGAATCAAGGGATTTGGAATCTAGACCTAGTTCTACCATTAATGAGAACACTAATGTGTGTGAGCACAGATGAGTTACTGCCTTTCTAGGCCTCTCTATATATGTAGAATGATAGATTAACTAGAGTAGCAGTACCACAGTTTTCACGACCAAAAAACTCCTTTTTGATGAGAAAGGATTTACCATTAGAATCTTGGGAGAGAGCATGGCTCTACCAACACCCTGATTTTGGACTCCTAACCTCCAGAGCTGTGAGAAAATAAATTTGTTCTTATAAAAACAACAACAAAACCTCCTTTTAATATTCTTCCTCCACTTCATCCCTATGGGCCCATGTTTTATGAGATTTCATTTGCTAAATGTATGCATTCATAATCTTTTACATTTTTATTCCTACAGTGATCACTATCATTAAGTACATTCAGATGATGCAGTTTTAATGAAAAGCAAATAACCTTAATCTTTTACTTAGCCTGCAGAATCTTATCTGATAAATGTGTGATTTGTTAGGTCTTTTTAATGTTACAAATAGTTTGTAAAACCCCATTAGTACTCCTGTGGGGGTAGGAGGCCTCACAAAGGGAGCCACATAATTAAAGGGCCTTTAGGTCCTTTCTTAGCTTACCAGTTCTGTGAGATAGATTGAATAAATACTCAACATTCATTTTAATTTTTTCATTTTCTTAGTCTATAGGCAATATTGGAGACCAGTCCTACAAGATGGCAACCAGTCGTTGTGTTCGGTTGATATTAATCAGTATGGCCAATGATTTGAAAGAAGTTTGGATCTCAGATCACCCCTTTTTGCTCATGACATATGTCGGCCAATATATGCCAACCTTGACCTGGTGGCTAACCTGCAAGTTAGGGAAGAGAAGGATTGAGAATTTTAAGAGTGGTGTGGTAAGACCAATTTATAAATTTTTTAGTAATACTTATTAATCTTAACAGAAAAGTACAAACTTTTCTGATGCTTAAAAATCTTGAAATACACTTCTGCCAACTGCATGATATACATATTTTTAAAAAAGTATTTTTTCCTTAGGCATATCTGCTGGTTTACTGTAATATTACTGGTCTTAGAAAAAGAAGTTTCTTAGAAGGTAAAATCAAATCAAAGATTCACTGGAATCGAATATTGCAGATTTCTTTTACACTTATGTTTGATCAGTATACGTTAAAATTTGCTTGTGGAGTACCTGAAACAGTGCTTCCTAAATTTTTCATTCAGAGCCATTTAGATTTTCAGGAAGGAGATCATCCACTCTGGTTAGGGATTCTGCCCACCCCCCCTCTCTCACCACTTACACTGTCTATTCTTGACTCTCCCAGTTCTAGCCTGTGACACATGGGATTCCCTCTGCCCCAAATGCTTCTCCACTCCTCCTCTCCACAAACTCCTACCCATTCTGCGTGTCTCAGCTCAGGTGTCACCACCTTGGAGTGATGCCAAGCTTCCCCTCCTGCTTCTCCCCAGGATCAGGTGCACCTCAGCCCCATGTTTACCTCTGTCAAAGCATGTGGGACACTGTTAAAACACTGGGTAGTACTGCTTCCCTCACCTTGTTCCTGAAGTTCTGCATATCTAACATGTGCCTAAGTCCATGTCCAAGAAAATACACTATCATTCTTTCAGCACTCATTCTTATAGCAAATGGGGAATATTACTAATATTGTTTCTTAGAAACTATGACTATCAAGAGAATTTAATGTATAAATAACACAGAAAATGTTGAGTTAAGCCAAAACTTAAAACGTTATACAAAGAAAAATTGATTGGTGCTGAGGGTTTTTACTGTTAACTTATTTCAGTGATGAGTACATTTTTTAGAAATCAACCAATAGAGATTGATATATATGTAAAAAGAATTAAAAAGTGAGATCATATCATATGCACCTTTATATACTATTGTTTAAACAATCTACTAATTATTAGAAATCTAATTTGTTTCAACTTTTTGCAGACAGGTCAATTGGCTGAAAATGAATTAGGAGGAAAAAAGCAAAAGAATGCTTAAAGAGATTTCAAAGGTTATAAAACTCTTCCATGATGCACTAAAATGTTTAGAGCTTGAAAAATCATGAAGTGACTGTTCATTTTCCACCAACTTATAATGTGGACCAGTTTCCTTTGGGCCAGTTCATTATAAGTGTTTTGGTGATGGTGGGAGTTGGTAGTGTGGGGCTGGTTCTAAAGATAGAATTTCATCAAAGATTACTTCTAAGTTTTAAATTTGGAGGACAGCTGATACAGTGCCATTGTGTCTATTGATGGGTAAGAGTTGGCAGGGAAAGACGCTTTAGTAGGTTAGGTGTCAGGGCAGCCTGGTAAAAAACATAGAGCCTGACGGCAGGCTTAAAACCAACCAACAAACCAGTTGCCGTTGAATCAATTATGACTCATGGAGACGCTGTATTCAAATCCACTTCTTGACCACAGGCAAGTTACTTCTCTATAATTAATTTCCCCATCTATAAAATGGAGATTAATGATGATAGGTTTATTATGGGGATTAAATGAGACAGTACAGTAAAACTTGCAAAAGCTGGAACCTGTGTAAAACCTGTTAGAGAAGGAAAACTCACTGGGTGTTTGTGAGGTAGAATATTTAATACAGAATAATAGAAAAGTAAGATTGCACCATCAAAGCCAGAAAACTTGCAAGACCTGGAAAAACAAGACAGTCCTGTTGAGTTTTAGCTCTCACAAGTTTCACTGCATATGGAAAGCTCTTAAAACACATCCTGGAGTGTTATGCTTACCAAGTGTTAACTCTTATGCTTTTATTTTCTTTCTATTCCTGAATTTGATGGCAGCACTATTACATTATAATGAAGATCAAAGACCTAAATAATACAACAGAGAGAGAAAGAATGCATTATGGAAATCATTGTTTCAGAAGGGCAAGTGGGACCAAGGACTAGAGACTTTCAGTACCACTATAGTAGTTGCTGGGGGAGCTCTGGTAGCATAGTGGCTAAGGCACTTGCCTGCTAATCAGACGGCTGGTGGTTCAAACCCACCAGCCACTCCTCGGAAGGAAGATTGGGCATTCTACTTCCGTAGTGATACTGCCTCGGAAACCCAAGGAGGGGTCGCTATGAGTCGGGGTCGACTCGACGGCACATAACAACGACAACATAGTAGTTGCTGGGAGGAACTCTGGTGGCATAGTGCTTAAGGCATTTGACTGCTAACCAGAAGGCTGGTGGTTCAAAGCCATCAGCTACTCCACAGAAGGAAGGTTGGGCAATCTACTTCCATAGTGATACCACCTTGGAAACTCAGGGAGGGTGGCTATGAGTCAGATCCGACTTGATGGCAGTGAATTTGGTTTTGGCTTAAAGTAGCTGCTGGAGTTCCCAGGTGGTGCAAATGGTTAATTCACTCATCTGCTAACTGAAAGATTGGAGGTTTGAATCCACCCAGTGGTGCCTAGGAAGGAAGGTCTGGTGATCTGAAAAATCAGCCATTGAAACCTTTGAGTTCTCCTTTGACACACATGGGGTTGCCATGAGTTGGATTGACTTGACTGTAATTGGTATGATTATTTTGGGGATCAAGAACACTAGCTGTACTGAATTTTGTTGCCATGACTGTTTTTCCCCCGCTAGTGCAAATTCCTAAAGTGGTAAATGCACATCCTTCCAAGTGAAATGTCACATCTTAGGATTATCAACTTTCTTTTATTCTTTAAACAATACACTTAAAGTTCACACATCATTTTTAGAATTACCTATCAAATATTCCAGTTCTAAATACTCTGACCTATTCCTTGTATTTATTAAATCAAGTCAGTGTAGGTATTGTATACTGGTCCAGAAGAGTAAAAATACAGACTGTAGCAATTAAGAAATGGTATGAGCAGATGCTAATCAGTAGTATTTATTACCAGATAATGATGTTAAGCCCACTGAAGAATTTTTTTTTTTTTGGTGCATCTAGAATTTTGGTTACAATGTTTACTGTAACTTAAGCATTTCCCCAGGTTTTATAAATATTCATAACATTGACTCAATGATACAGCTTCTCCTCCGAAAAGAAGGGATTGTTACAAGTGGAGTAAATAGAAGGACTGATTCATGTTATTGCCTCTCTGTTACAGGATGCAGACTCCTCTTATTTTAAACCCTTGAAGAAAAAACATGAGTGAAGGAGCACTTGCGGTTTTCAAGCCACTGTAGGGAAATGGAAAACAGCAATCTTCTGCACTAAAGACTAATCTCTGATTTTACTTTTTAATAGTAAAAATAATAATAATTTTCCTTTCAATATGTATTGAATAATCAAAGATTGCTAATAATCTTGCATTAAGGGTATTAGTACATACTGGATTCTTGGATGAAAGAGTATTTTAAAATACATTAGTGTATATGCTAAAAATCTAGGTTAGCAGAATGTTAACCAAAGAATTACAGTAATTCATTTAACATAAATGTATGGACTGTTTTTCACAAGGAGAGTTTTTGGTCATGTGCAGATACAAAGAAATTTCTGAAATGACCCTGCCTCCAAGAGGCTTACATTCTCTTAGAAAAGTTGATAGGTACACAGATGACTGTAATTGGAAATATTAGATAGGACTCATAGCAGCCATCATTTATTAAATACCTGTTATATTCATTTGCTGTACTATTACTGTGTTTTTTGCATTATTGTGTTTTTGAGTTTTGTTCCACATAATTCCTCCCACTCCATCCAGGATCTCCAGTTTTGATGCCTTCCTGAGTGGTTGGCATTGATAGCCAGGCACCATCTAGTTCTTCAGCTCTCCAGGTTCACCATATCCTTAGACTTGATTGTTTCCAAATGCCCTGGATTTTCTTCACTCCAAAGAAGTTTCTGAAATGACCCTGCCTCCAAGAGGCTTACACTCTCTTAGAAGAGTTGATAGGTACATAAATGACTGTAATTGGAAATATAAGATAGGGCTCATAGCAGCCATCATTCATTAAATACCTGTTATATTCATTTGCTGCACTGGGGTGCTCTGCATTCATTCATTCATTTAATTCCTCATAATAGCCCTATAAGGTAAGTTATATTCCACATTTATATATGAAGGAAGAGGCACCCAAAGCAAGTGGTCGTTGCCTCCCCAATGTCACACAGCTAATAAAGGGTAAAGCCAGGATTAAACTCAGTTCAGGATGATTCCATTGGCAACTCTTGGCTCTAGTTATTCATTTTATGTTAACTTTTAGCATATTACAATAGAACACATACATAAGCCACAAAAGAAAATCAACAAATATTCTGTAAATATCCACTACCAAAAAGGATGCAACAGAAGAAAACCACAACCCTTATCTTACAAGCAAGGAGCTCTGGTGGTACAGTGGTTAAGGCATTCAGCTGCTAACCAAAAGATCAGCACTTCAAACCTACTAGCCATTCTGCAGGACAAAGATGAGGCAATCTTCTTCTGTAAAGATTTGCAGCTTTGGAAGCCCTATGGGGCAGGTGTACTTTGTTCTATAGGGTCATTATGAGTTGGCATTAACTCGATGGCAGTGAGGATCTACAAGCAGTTCAAAGTTTAGCTGGAACCAAAGTAACATACATAAATAATTGTTGGGAGAGTCAGAGATCACCCTGATGGCTACGCTTGGCAAAGAGGAAGAGGACATGTGATAGAGGTACACCATGGGGTACAGCAGGCAGAAGTGGAACAGATGCACACACAACATGGATATATACTAGAACTATGCTGATGAAAGAAGAAAGAACCAACAAACTAACACAATGCTGTTTACATACATTTAAGTATGTGTAGAAGATAGTGCTCATTTTGCAAGAATATACAACAGAGAAGTACACGTTGTAATAGTTGCTTAGGGTGGGGAAGGTATTGGGAGTGCAGGAGGAGGATAAAATTGTTGAAAACAAAAGAGGGGACTTCCACGACCAGTGATGAAAATGAACGATGAACTATGATACCCCAAAACCCACTGCCACTGAGGAATTTCAACTCATAGTTGATTCATAGCCATCCTATAGGAAGGAGTACAGCTGCCCCACAGGGTTTCCAGGAATGTAAATCTTTACGGAAGCTGACTGCCTCATTTTTCTACTGTGGAGCAGCTGGTGGGTTTGAACTGCCAAGCTTTTGGTTAGTAGCTGAATGCTTAAATCATTGGGCCCCCAGAGCTCCTGAATACACTATACCTGAGGTAAAAACAAGACATATTGTTGGATCAATTTTAGAATGTTACAAAATAACATAAATGTCACGTGGCATGATACAGACTAAGAACAATATAGTTCAGAAAAGGAGAGATCTGTGGATGGGAGAATAGTGTGGATGCCTTTCATAAAGGTGTGATTTTCTGAGCTCTGAAATAAAGGTGGTATTTAGACAGATGAAGAGAAGTTGGGGTCCAGGTCAGTTTTTTGTTCGTTCTTGAATCCCCAGAGCCCAGCATTGTGCTTGCCAAGGTTTAGGGTTTGTTGAGTATATAAGGCAGGCATTCCTTGTCTCCAGAATGTCCTGAATGAAAACTCAAAAGAGATTGAAATTAGCATGGTATAGGAAGAATGGAACAGAGTAATGAGATCATTTTACCAGCCAGTGAAGAGAAGAAGAGGCATACATAAATTAAAATGATCTTTAAAAATTCATCAGTATGGTGTTTTTCTATGGCATAACATTAACTATTTAAAAAAACAAAAAACAAACTCACTGCCATTGAGTCAATTCTGACTTATAGTGACCCACTTTGGGTTTCTGAGGTGGTAAATCTTTACGGAAGTAGATTGCCCAGTCTTCCTTCTGTGAACCACCAAAGGTCCGTCATTAACTACACACGTTTTTATCCATGCACACCCTTTCTTCCTTAGGCTCTTTTATCAGCACCCAAGATGGAAAGGCAACTTTTTGTCAAAGTTCATCTTCTCAAAGATGGTCAAGAGCTATAAAACCAAATGGCCACATATTGACATTTTGTTTTAAGCATTCATCATTCTGCATTGCCATCTTATTTTCCTATCATTATCTTGAGTGGTCCTTTGAAATAGAAGGAAACAGTGTTTAGTCTCTCAGTCCTGAAACCGAGGCACAGAGAGGGTTGTGCAAAGGTGACAGTTTAGTAGAAGTGGCTTTCTGGTTAATTTGCTCAACTACTGGCTGCTCTAGTAAGTCACACAAGACCTTTGTCATATCAGTTATTCAGAGACAAATTTAATACACATTACCCTATTTTTTAAATTTAATACACATTACCCTATTTTTTTTAAACACTTTTACTGAAATATTATTGATGTGCTATAAACCACATATATTTTAAGTGTACAATCTGCTAAGTTTTGACATGTGGACACACTTGTAAAACCATTACCACAATTTAGAGAATAAACATATCTATCACCCCTAAAAATTTCCTTGTGCCCCTCTGTAATCTCTACCCCCTGCTACACCACCCCAGGCAATTAAAGATAGACTTTTTGTCACTAAAGAATCATGTGGATTTTCTAGTTTTATATAAATGGTTTTATATAGTTTTTACTGTTATATACTGCTGGTAGAAATGTAAAATGGTACCATTACTTTGGAAAATAATTTGGCAGTTTCTTAGAGTTTAAAAAAAGAAAATAAAGACTTCTCCAAAAGAGTAAAAATAGAACGTACAGATTGGGAGAAAATATTTGGCAAAATGTATCTGACAAGGGACTTATCTCTAAAACTTATGGGAAACTCCAACACCTCAACAAAAACAACAACAACAACAAACAACCAAACTCACTGAAGTCGAGTCAATTTGACTCATAGCGACCCCTTCTTGGGTTTCTGAGGCGGTATTTCTACAGAAGTAGATTGCCCAATCTTCCTTCCAAGGAGTGGCTGGTGGGTTTGAACCTCCAGGCTTCTGGTTAGCAGTCAAATGCCTTAGGCACTATGCACCAGCGCTCCAACTGAGAACAAAAAGACAATCCAATTAAAAAAATGGGCAGAAGACACCAAAGAACCAAAGAGGATATTCAGGTGGCCAACAAACACATGAAGAAATATTCACGATCATTAGCTATTGTAAAGATGCAAATCAAAACAACAACGAGATACCATCTTGTACCAGCACTAATAAAAAAGCTCAAGAAGACAGACAATAACAAATGCTGGCGAGGCTGTGGAGAGACTGGGAGTCTCATACACTGCTGGTGGGACTGTCAAATGATACAACAACTGTGGAAAGCAGTATGGCGATGCCTTAAAAAGGTGGAATTGGAAATATTATTTAATCCAGCAATCCCGTTACTAGGTATATATCCTAAAGAAGTGAGAGCCAGGACAAGAATAGATATATGCACACCTATGTTCATTGCAGCTCTATGTACAATAGCAAAAAGATGGAAACAACCTAAGGGGCCATCAACAGAAGAACAGATAACCAAAATATAGTACATACACACAATGGACTATTATGCAACAGTAAAGAATAATGTAGCAGCAAAACACTGCATAATGTGGATGAACCTGGAGGACATTATGCTGAGTGAAGTAAGTTAGTCACAGAAGGACAAATACTGTGTTAGTTCACTATTGTAAAAAATCAAGGGTTTAAATATGGAAGGAAATTTTCTTTGTTGGTTACCAGGGGTGGAAGGTGAGGGAAGGGAGCATTGCAAAAAAATAATATTCTGGGGGAAAATAAAAAGTTAAACAAGCATACATGTACCATATGATCCAGCCATCCCAGTCCTTGGCATATGCCCAAGAGAAATGAAAGGATAGATCTCTACAAAAATTTGAACATATTCTTAGGAGCTTTATTTTTAATAGCCCCAAACTACAAGCCACCCAAATGTCCATCAATAGGTGAATGGAACAAACTGTGGTATATTCCATACAATGGAATACTACGCAATAATGAAGAGGAATTAAGTGTTAATACATTTAACAACATGGATGAGAAAAATAAACCAGATCACCTAGCAATCTGGAGATTTCCTTTTGGAGAGCTTTTATATGCTGACTTCAGTATCTTTATCGATAATAGGAATATACAGATTATCCATTTCATCTTGGTTGAGTTTTAGTAGCTAGTGGCTTTTAAGGAATCAGACCATTTTCTCTAAGCTGTCAAATTTATGAGTGTAAAGCTGTTTGTAGCACCCCTTGTTAATGGCTGTTTGGTCTGTAGTGATATTGTGTCATTCTTCACATTGATATTTATGCCATCTCTATTTTTGTCAGTGCTCCTGGAAATTTAGTACTTTCATTGATTTTTTTGAAAATGAGTATTTTACTTAATTGATTTGTTTTGTTTTCCTACTTTCAATTTAAGGAGCTCTGGTAGCGTAGTGCCTAAGGCACTTGACTGCTAACCAGAAGGCTGGTGGTTCAAATCCACCCTCAGAAAGAAGGTTGGGCAATCTAGTGATACAGCCTCAGAAACCCAAGGAGGGGTCGCTATGAGTCAGGTTCAACTTGATGGCACATAACAACAACAGCTTCCATTGGTGATGATTGTGGAACCAAGTAATAAGAAATCTTTAACTTCAATATTTTCTTCATTTATTATGATGCTGCTTATTAGTCCAGTTGTGAGGATTTTTGTTGTATGTTGAGATGTAACTCATACTGCAGACTGTAGTCTTTAATCTGCATCAGTAAGTGCTTCAAGTCATCTTCATTTTCAGCAAGCAAAGTTGTGTCCTCAGCATATCATAGATTGTTAATGAGTCTTTCTCGAATCCTGATGCCATGTTCTTCTCCATATAGTCCAGCTTCTCGGATTATTTGTTACACATACAGATTGAGTAAGTGTGGGGAAAGGAAAACCCTGACACACTCCCTTCCTGATTTTAAACTATGCAGTATCTCCTTGTTCTGTTCAAAGGATAGCCTCCTGGTCTATGTACAGGTTCTTGATGAGCACAATCAAGTGTTCTGGAATCCCAATTCTTATCCACAATTTGTTATGATCCACACAATCAAATGCTTTTGCATAGTCAATAAAACACAAGTAAACATCTTTCTGGTATTCTCTGTTTTCAGCCAAGATCCATCCAGCATCAGTAATGATATCCCTTGTTCCATGTCCTCTTCTGAATCCAACCTGCATCTCTGGAAGTTCTGTCAATACAGTGCTGCAACCATTTTTGAATTATCTTCAGCAAGATTTTACTTGTGTGTAATATGAATGATATTGTTTGATAATTTCCACATTCTGTGGGATCACCTTTCTTTGGAATAGTACAAATAAGGATCTTTTCCAGTCAGTTGGCCAGGAAGCTGTCTTCCAATTTTCTTGGCATAACCAGTGAAGACTGGGCAATGCTTCATTCTGTTGCACACAGCGTCACTGAGTTGGAGGTGATTCACCAGCACCTAACAATAGTATCATCATTTTACTACTTTACATGAAATGTGGAAACCCCACTTCCATTCAAGACCCTTTGTGTTTTCCACTTTTGAATATTATTGTCTTGAATTATCAGATGTTTTAATTTTTGTTTCAAATACAATTTCTAAAGTTTGTGCTGAAAGGGATAATCTATTATATATATCTGTATTTCTATTCTTCTGTTGTTCCTTCCTCTGGATGCTCCAAGTTCCCTACTTCTATATTTTTTATCATAAGAAATTTCTTTAGCCAATCTTTAAGGATAGGTCTGCTAGTGACAAACTCTTTGTTTTCCTTTACTTGGGAAATGTCTTTATTTCCTCTCAATTGCTGGCAGATAATTTCATTAGATACAGAATTCGCAGTTCAAAGTTCTTTTCTTTCAGTACTTGAAAAATATTGTGCCACATCCTTCTGACCTCTATGGTTGCAGAGGAGAAATCCTATCATTTGAATTGGTGTTCTCTAGTAGCAAACCAGGTAATCTTTCTGGGCAGCTGATTTCAAGATTTTTTTCTTTATATTTAGAAGTTTAAGTAATTAATTTATTGTAGGTCTTGATAGGAATTTCTTTGGGTTTGTCTTGTTTGGGGTTCATGTGGCTTCTTAGATTTGTTAGTTTTTTTTTTTTTCCAAATCTAGAAGTTTTTAAATATTATATCTTCAATTACTCTTTCAGCTCCACTTTCTTTTGGGACTTCAATAATGCAAATCTTTTGTTACTGTCCTATAGGTCCCTGAAGCTCTGTTGTTTATTTTTTCCAGTCTGTTTCTCTATGTTGTTCAGCCTGGGGTGGGCTCTATTGTTCTGTTCTCCGTTTCACCAATTCTGTACTCTGCTATATCCAGTCTATTACTGAACCTATTTTGCAAGTTTTTTATTTTTTTCAGTTTTGTAATTTCCATTTGGTTGTTTCTTTCATAATTTGTATTGTACTGTTGAGATTTTTTTTTTCAATTGTTCAAGAGAACTTCTAACAGATTCTTGAAGCATTTTTGTAACAGCCACCTTAAAATCCTTGTGAGATAATTCTAACATCTGATTCATCTTGGTGTTGGCATCAGTTGTGTTTCCTCAAATTGATTTTCTTGGTTCTTGCTATGATGTGTGATTTTCAATTATATTTTAGATATTCTATCATATTAGGAGCACTGGTGATGCAAATGGTTAAGCACTTGGCTGCTAATGGAAAAGTTGATGGTTTGAAACCATCTAGTGGCTCTGTGGGAAAGACCTGGCAATCTGCTTCCATGCAAATATGGGCAAGAAACCATGGAGTGGTTCTGCTGTCCTATATGGTTACTATGAGTCAGAATCGACTTCACAGCAACTTTTTAAGAGGAAATAAATAAGGGGTAGAGGAAATTGATGTCTCAGTTAATGTAGATTTATTGTTCATCCTTCTTTAAGTACCTGCAGGAAGTTCCTAGGCAGCAAGAGAATGATAATAAAATTCTAATTATATTATGTAAATTTTCTTCCTTCTCTTTCTGTCTTTAGATCAGATACAGTAAGACAACACTAGTAGTAAGTAATCTCACTGGGTAAAGCATTTTTCAGATGCAGTATATTCAGTTAGAGGAGTCATACCTATGAAATGGTCTCTGGCAATCATACTCAGATTACCCTAATATTGCTAGTCCTGTCAGTACTAACATGATGAACAGATTAACCCTTCTCTCCTTGCACATATACAAAAAAGGTTATTAGGAGGGGACTGATATCTAAGATACTTTACTATAAGATATTTTACTGAAAGTTTTTAAGGTTTCTGAAGTTTATTAAAAGAAAATATATTCAAACTGTTGAATTTAAAATAAAACAGCACGAAGTTTGAAAATACTATAAAAATTAACTATATTTCAAATATATATACACACACACACACACACAGACACACACAAACACACATTACGTTCCCCTTCAACAGGACCCATTATCATTACTTAGAAACACTGATAAGTATGTAAAAGTTACATAGCAATGCAAGTCACCTATCATACATGTAAGAAAACATTAAAAAATACATTATCTAATCTTTAAACAAAGGAGCCCTGATGGTACAACATTTAAGCACTTGACTGCTAACTGAAAGGCTGGTGGTTCAAACCCATCCAGTGGCTCTGTGGGAGAAAGACCTGGTGATCTGCTTCCATAAATATTACAATCTAGAAAATCCTAGAGGGCAGTTCTACTCTGTCACATCGGTTCACTATGTGTTGGAACTGACCCCACGGCACCTAACAACAACTTTATACAATGGTTTATACTATCTCTGAAACCCTACCACAATCCAGAGAGCACAAATATTGGCCAACTAGTTCTAACTTTTATGTTAGACATATTTTTGTTTGTTTTTAACCATTAAGATGGTTAAGAGATTAAATTTATGGAGCTTAGCTTTCTCAAGCATCTAACAAAGAGACAAAAATCTAATAAAGATTTTAGGAAGCACATTATTACTTTCTAGGATGAAAAAAATATAGGTATCTCATTCAAAGATACTATGTTTACAAGTCAAAATGGGCTCTAATACAAATGTATATGGAGAGGTTTTGAAGAATAAATTGGATATCCCAGGGGAGGGTCAGCTGCTTGTACTGTAAGGTTTCTTAAAAGAAGTGGATGAGCTTGTATACTGTAACGTTCCTCATCGTCATTGGTGGCATACAGCAATTCCCATGAAAGATTGGCCCACTGCCCTCTAACAGCTTCAGCATTCAATTTTCCAACTTGGATCAGTAATTCTTGAAGGGTAAGTACTCTCCCAGTGTAAACTCCCTTAAAAGGAAAAAAAAAGGGGGGGAGGGGGTGGAACAGGGAGAAAGGAAGGAGGGAGAAAAAAAGAAAAGAAACATTCAGTCTTTAATTTATAAATTTAGGAGGAAAAAATAATCTAATTGTAAACTTTCTCCCAAGATGAAAAAGAGAAAGTGGTATATTAAAATGTACACATATGAGTTGCTTGCCTTTAGAGTCAAGAATCACTTTTATTTCCCTAGCTCTCTAAGTATGAGAAGAAATATTCGCTGGAAGCCATTCTGCTTAATGAGCAGAACAACATAATCCCAGCTCCTTCTCTTCCTTTGCTTTTCTATTCACTCACCCCATCTGGCTTCAGTGATACATAAAAGTATATATACTAGTCAGTGAATCATCATGCAATCAGCTCTTTTCTAAAAAAAAAAAAGCTTTAAGATAAATTCACATACCACACAATTTACTACTAAAGTGGAAATTCAGTATTTTTTAGTATATTCACAGGTATTTTAGAACATTTTTATGCTTCTCTATGTAACACCCTGCCTTGAGATATGAGTGCTTGGTGGAGGTGGGGCAGTAGCCTCAGGTCTTCCTGGCTTGCATCTCAAGGCCTAGAGCCGCCTCTGCCTTCCCAGCCAGGGTAAGGGTGATCAGGGACAGTGCTCTCAGTGGTACTACATCCAAGGCAGAACCTCTGTCCTGTGCAAGGGGCTGGTTGGAAAAGAGCCTCCTAACTGTTGGCACCAGCTGGTGGCACCAGGGAGATGGTGGCAGGATGAGAACTAATGAAGTCCTGCCTTTCCTGGGAAAATAGCCCCCTAACTGGGAGCTGGAGTGAGAGGGAGCCCTGCATTGGCTATACAGTCTAAATATCAAGTTTCTGTTTTGCTGAGCTGGAGTGGAGTGGGGTGGAAAGGGGCTGGGGAGTGAGTCTTGGTTCAAATATCACAGTTCCTTGCTGCGGTCACCAAATTTTAGCATATTAACAAATGTTTCTTCATTTCCTGCATGAAGACTTTAAATGGTTATTTTAAAAACATTTTTAATGGGGAGTGTGCCTGCTTAATTTCCCATGCTGCCATGCCAGAAGTAGAAACTGCAACAGCCTCTTAACATTGAATCTTTCATATTGTGCACACTGGATGACATTTTAAATGCAATGAGACTAAGTAGTAAATCACAGAAAAACTATGCTCTATTTTGAGTCTCTGAATTTTCTCAGGCGGATTCACTTTATATAAGGTTTGCTTTAAAACACAGATGTCAGTGAAAGAAATACTTTGTCACATACAAATTATTCTTTCAGGGGTCAAATCCAAAGTGACTAACTCATAGTTAAACTGGGCACAGGAATACAATCCATAAATATGCTATGGCAAATTAGAGCTTCTTGGCTATCTTATAGGTCAGATGTTGCACAACAGCTGGCTACACAATTATTTTTAATTGGCTCCTATTAAGTTTCCAAAAGTAAATGAACCAGCCATTCTAGGGTTGGACTATATTGGGCATAAAATCATATTACAAATGCCTTAAAACTGGAATTAATATATCCATAGCCAGAATGTTCAATCTCCATTACTTTGTTCATATACTTTATAACTGATTCCTGTTTTTTAAACTTAATACATAAAGAAATATTTAAAAACACATTTTAAAACTTACCATATTAGGATCGTACCCCAGAGAAAACAAGTATGGCTTTTCTTGTAAAACTGCTTCCTTCCACTTTTCTTCAGATACCAAACCAATGTACCAGTCACTTTCATATTCTTCAAGGCAGTTAGTTAGCTCTTTAAAATTTTCTACTGGGCCTAAACTTGCTTTATCAATCATTAGTTTCAAAGTATACCTAAACAAATAGAGAATCAAAAATTTTACATTTTTGTATCAATTTCAAATATGAAATAGATTTTCTTAAATTACTATTTTTAAGATGTTGATCTACAATCACAAGTATCTGACAAAAAGATTATGGAGAAATGATGCAGTTAAAGTGAACAAGTCCAGTATGACATATGAATCAAACAGGTCTTTCACATAAAAACCAAAGCAAATACAAACTAAAAGTGTAGTCCTGAAATAAACACAGTAAGTACTAAGCACTTTTTTTTTTTTTTTTAGAAAAAATGTTCTTTTTAGTTAGCAATAAAAAAAATGCCTTCCTAAAGGTGACTGTGGTGTAGTGAGTTACATGGTATGGCTTTTCTAGCCATAGTCTCTGTAACTCCCACTTTACCGTGAGCAAACGAGCAGCTGCTTGTTAAAAGTCATCCATCCTGGGGCAGCATGAAGTAATCTTCTGGAAAAATTTGCTCTCGCTCAGGTGTGTAGAACTCTGATGTTGGGATTGGTTGGTTTTGGAAATGTGCCAGGCTCAAAATGAGCCCTCCTACAGGCAGAAGGATATCCTTCTGACCGACGGCTGAGAGAGACGTGCTGCTTGAGAGGCTGCCGGCTGAGAGAGACTGGGCGTGTTCCTGAACTTGAACTGCAGCCTGTTTCTTCCCTAATAAACCCCATAATCTGTGAGTTCTGTGTGACCCCTGCAGTGAATTATCAAAACTAGCAGAGAGGTGGTGGGTACCACGAGAGGGACCGTTGGTGTCAAGGTTGGTTAAGTGGGCTGGAGGGTGGCGGCATGTCTAGCCTTATGAGCCCAGAGGAGTAGGCCTAGAGCTGCTGATGGTGATTCTGTCTTTTGTGAAGTTAGACGTGGTCAGATGTCACTTCCATGCCCCTTTAGCCGTGACCTAAAAAAAAAAATCAACAGTTTTCTGCCAATGCTACTTACCACTGTTAAAATAATCAAAATGAATTACCTGAATGCTTTCAGTGCTAGCTGGAATAGTTCTGGTTTTTCCATGAGCCAATCCAATGCAACAGACCAAGGTAAAACACCATTATAAACTCTCAGTATGTGACCAGGACTAGGAGTCATACTGTCTATTCCAAACAAACTAAAGTAACAAGTCATTACTACATGAATATAAAAGTCTCTTAAAACTTTGTCCTTTGCAATTTCTTCTTGCACATTTGAGGCCTTTTCTTCTGAATGAAAACATTCCAACTGCTTTAAAACAAAGTGGTACCAGTCTTCTGGAAATAATGAGCTCATCTCCTTCATTTTGGAGGTAGGCAAACAGTTAGCCCTCCACTCTTCAGGTAAGCTTAACAAGTGAGAATGTGAACAACTAAACTCCATGAGAGGGATATATGCCATGTCTTCTTGTTTTCCTTTGTCAGTAGTAGGATATCCCAATATAACTGCTTTATAAAGACTGTTATCAGGAACTTTGCCTGTAGAATTATCATTAACCTCCCATGATTCTACTGATCCTGGAAGAGGCAAATTTGTATCTGGCAAAACTTTCAACTGATCTTTTTCTTCTTTTTTCCTTTTGATGGTTGGCTCATCATCAAAAATATTATCGTCAGACCACTCATCTAAAGTTTCTGAATTTAAACTATCAATGTCTTCTGGGCACTGGGGTTGTGGTGAAGGATTCAAAGCGGATGGGACAGGCAGAGGCACCTCCCCTGTGTTTCCAGTTTCGTGAGCATTCTCCTGCACGCTGGGCCTTCTGGAGCAGTACTGAACAAGTGTCCACACAAGGACTTTAACAAGGTCTTCTTTAAATTCCTTTAAGTTTTCATGAGAATCAATTATGCCAGAGAGGACATTCCTGGCATCAGAATATACTTTCACAGGTAAAACTGTATAGGGTGTCAAGATGTTTCCAAAGTGTTCATTCGGGGAACATATTCTTGCATATTCTTCTTGTTCAAATGCACCTTCAAAAACTTCATCAACTCTTCGAGCTTCAGCAGTGTGACAGGATGTCTCTTGCAATTCTAACCCCTAACGTGGAAATAAAAAGTATCCAAGTTTATGATAATTTATTACAGAGAAAAGCAACTAGTCATGTAAATGCTCATGAATTCTCATAATAAAAATACAGAAAATGCAAAAGTTCCTTTTAACCCAAGAGCTAGACTCTAATTAAAACTTAATGTGTAGCACTTAATATATCTTATATGGAATACAGATGTTAAAATTAATGCTACTATTATTTTAAAAGATATTAGACAAAGTCCAGTGTAAACTGGCAAAACAACTTTGTTGATTATAAACATAACGTTAAAAGAATATAAGTATAGCCAGGTTGAATCACTTATTAAAAATTTTAAATGATTATTTTTAAAAAAGCAAAATTGAAATTACAGGAGGTACAGCAATTTTGTATACTTACCATTTCCATTTTACATGAGATTAGTAAGTGCATTGTTCTACTTCATGGATGTGCCACAACTACTTTAACCATTCTCCTGTTCCAGTTTATGATGATGATAATAATATAATAAAATAAATTTATTTATTTAATAACTACTGTAGCCCCAGTGCCTGAATCAGTCCCTGGCACATAGCTGGTCTGCAAGAAATTCATGTCGAGTGAATGAATTTACAAGTATGTTCCTATATGAGTTCTGAACATATTTTGATTACCCTCCTAGAAGGAATCACTTGAAGAGGGCATACCAGGTGACTGTTTGTTCACTGTTGTTTATTTATACATGTTTACAAAACCGCCAGTGCCGCTGATGAAAAGCAATGTTGTCAGACTGTATTATGATCCAGGGAGGAGCGGATGTGACACCAGAACGCACCTTTGTCATGACTCCACCAGATGCTGGCTATGCAATCTTGAGTAAGTCACTCTAAGATCCCTTTTCCCTCTCTTTCAAAGAAAAATAATCCTAGCACACAGGACTGTGAAGATTAAATTAGGCAATAAAATACTGTGTTATATAAATGCTAGTAAAATGTCATAGATAAGCCAGCTTGTGCCAAAAAAAAAAAGGGAAAAAGACTAACATCAAAAAGTACACTTTTATCCCACATATGCCACAGTCCATAGAGTATCAATAAAAGGATGCACATTTTAGGTATTATGACACCATTTTTTTATAACAGAACAAAATTAAACAATAAAATAGCCTCAATATTTTCCATGACTTTCATGCCTTCTTCTACTTGGCAGGTACGTGGTAGTTAAATTTGTGTCAACTTGGCTGGGTCTGGTTGAGTGGCTGGGCAGCTGGTAGCAGTTATTCCCCATGATGAGACTGGCAATCAGCTCCATGGTGGGACCTACCACAAGCAGCTGAGTAGCTGCCTTTGGGCTGTGGTCTGCTTCCGGTATGTAAGGAGAAGCCTTGGGAATGGTCTCGAGCTTATGGCACGCTTGCATGCAGCTGTGTTGATATTCAGTAGCCTGCCACGCTCTGCCGACCTTGGGACTTACAATGGACTTGAATTAATAGCCTGCCGTGTGGTCTGGTAACATCAGGACTGTGCCATTTTATTTGTTGACCTTGGGCTTATTACTCTCAGCAGCCAGTAACTGCCTCTAGCTTCAGTGGGCTGGGAGCAAGAGGCAGAGCTGAAGCCCAAAGTTGAAGGGCTTTCACCTAGCCTCTAGGGCCTGGCACTTTGAGCGTGGACTTAAAGCCTCCAAATTGTAAGAACAAACTCCTGTTTGCTAAGGCCATCCACATTTGTGATATATTCTTGTCAGAGTGGCACTAGGTAACCAGAACAGCAGGTTAGACTAGAACAGTGGTCCCCAGACTAGCTCAGTCAGTATCCGTAGAAGCACTTGTTAAAACGTGGCTTGCTGAGTCCATCCTAGGGTTTCAGTAGGTCCAGAGATGGGCCCAAGAAATCCCATTTCTAACAAGTTACCAGGTAATGTTGATACTGCTGATCTGAGGACTATTCTTTGAGAAATCAAGAGATCAAAGATACAGCTTTAGCCACCAATTTTATCCAATCTGTGCTAAGACAAAAAAATCCATTTATTCAAGTATTTACTGAGGGCCTATCATGTACCAGGGACTGTTCTAGGGGCTTCGGATATATCCTCAAATGAAGATTGCTACCATTGTGACATTTACATTAGAGTGGGGGAAGATGGGAAGTCAATAATGAAACTAATAACTAAGTAAACTGCATAGTATGCTAGAAGGTATATGTGCTTTGACAAAAAGAAAAAAAAAAGGAAAGGAAAGCAAGGGGGATTGGCAGTACAGGGATGGAGGTGGGGTACAATTTTAAAGAGAATAGCCACAGAGCCCTCATTGAGGTGATATCTGGGTCAAGACTTGAAGGTAATGAGGGAGCAGTCATTTGGCTATCTGAAGACGAGTAGTCTAGGCAGAGGGAACAGCCCGTAGGCTGGAGTTGAGTGAGAGGGTTAAAATAGTAAAGGGGCCAAAAACGAGGCATAGGGCCTCTGACCATTTAGGCCTTTGGCTTTTACTCTGAATGAAAGTTCACTCATTTTAACTGCTGTAGAGAATTCATTGTATGAATATACTGAATTTGCATATCCATTTCTCTGATGATGAACACTTCAAATGTTTCCAATTTTTTGTTCTTGTTTATGATGTGGAAGCTATGTTTGTACAAGTCTGTTTGCATATTATGAAAGTGATTTACTGCAGAGTTCTGAGAGAAATGGCACAATCTTAGATTTTTAAAAGGTCAGTCTTATTATTGCCTTGAGAACAGACTGTAGTAGGAGATTGAAGCAGGTGACAATAGAAGACTACTGCAATTATCCAGCAAGGGTTGAAAGTGCCTGGGACCAGGCAAGTGTGAAGTGGCAGGATACAGGTTATGGTTTAAAGGTAGACTCAACAGAACACCTGGATGAATTAGATGTGGGTGGAGAAGTAAAAAAGGAGTCAAATATTCAATGTTTTGTGGCCTAAGCAACCAGGATAGCAATGACTGGGCTCTGGGGAAGTCTAATACAAAGAAGGAATCATGAAAGGAAAGTGACTCATGAAACAAGTGAAGAGAAGGAAGCGATAAGCTGTGTCAAATGCTGCAGAAAGGTCCAGTGAGATAGGCCTGGGAGCTCAGCACTGGATTTAGCAATGTGATGGTCACTGGCGAGTTTACCAGAGCAGTTCTGGTGGAGTAATGGGTTTAAACCTTTCCACCTAACGTGGAAAGAGAATGGAAGGAATGAAATTGGAGATGATTATAAGCAACTCTACTAAGGCATTTTGCTCTTAAAGGAGAAAAATGGGATGTAGCAGTTAGGGGCAGTGGGGTTTTTATTATGAGAATGCTTATATGTTAAAATGTTTTTTTTTTTTTTTAAAAATCACTGATTCACACTTTTGAGATAATACTCAACTAAAGAGAAAAAAGAATATGCTGTATTATACAATCAATACTAGTCTGCCCATCATGATGTGCATACCGAAATATACTTTTAAAATTCCTAGGTGTTTTCACAGGTAATTAAAAAGATATTCTTCTTTCAACTAAGCTATTGTTTCGTATGTATATAACAAATAAAATGTTACAAACGTACTATAAAAACTCTAAAGAGGTTTCAAATGAACATTAACCTTAATGTTAATACAGCAGTAAGTGTAGCCTCGTTCTAGAATCATTATCCATATTAAACGATCCTGAAAACGGCCCAAGTAATGAGAGCCAGGTAAGAGGAGACCTGAAACAAATGAGAAAAAAAGGAATCACTTTCAGGCTTGTTTTATTCTGTCACGTGAATCTTCAAAATTGGTAACACACTTGGAACTGACTCATAGTTCATTCATCCCCCTCATTAGGTCAAGAATAGAAGCAACTATTCATTGCATATTAACCTGCTGCTGTCCAGTCAATTCTGATTCATGGCAATTCCAAGGTACCATTCATTGCATATTATTGTGTGCTATGAAGTGGATTCCAATTCATAGTGACCCCAAAGGACAGAGTAGAATTTCCTCATAGGGTTTCCCAGTTTGTAATCTTTATAGGAAGAGATTGCCAGGTCTTTTACTGCAGAGCCCCTGGTGGGTTTGAACTGCTGACCTTTGGTTAGCAGCCAAGAACGTAATCATTGTGCCATGAGGGCTCCCTCACTGCACATTAAAACCCCACCGCAACTGAGTCAATTCTGATTCATAGCGACCCTATAATACAGAATAGAATACTGCCCCATAGGGTTTCCAAGGCTGTAAATATAGCAGCAGACTGCCTCATCTTTCTCCTGCTGAGTGGCTGGTAGGGTCAAACCACCTTTTGGCTAGCCGCCCAACACTTTAACCACAGCACCACCGGAGCTCCCGCTGTATATTCCAAAAACCAAACTCACTCCCATCAAGTTGATTCTGATTCAATCCAACCCCCATTGGGATTCCAAGGTGGTAGAGAAGTAGACTGCCTAGTCTTCTTTCGGTGGAGTGGCTGGTGGGTCTGAATCGTCAATCTTCTGGTTAGCAGTCAAATGCCTTAGGCACTATGCCATTAGAGCTGCTTAGACTGCCATTTAAAAAAAAAAAAAAAAAAGGCAATCTAAGGAACTCTGGTGGTGTACTGCCTAAGGTATTTGACTGCTAACCAGAAGGTTGGCAGTTCAGACCCACCAGCCACTCCACGGAAGGAAGACTAGGCAATCTACTTCTGTACAGCCTTGGAACCCCAGGAAGCATTAAATTAAACTTTTTATAAGGTTAGTTTGAGGACACAATCTGTAGCTAAGAATAGGAATTCTAGGATATATTTTTATAAAAGTGAACAAATCAGAAAGTGGTAGCGTAGTGCCTGAGGCACTTGACTGCTAACCAGATGGTTAGTGGTTCAAACCCAAGAGCCACTCCTCAGAAGGAAGGTTGGGCAATCTAGTTCCATAGTGATACCATCTCGGAAACCCAAGGAAGGGTCACTATGAGTCAGGTCCAACTCAACAGCATATAACAACGAAAAAAATATGAATGTTAAGTATATTAGGAAAAGTATTAAATATACAAAAGCCAACTTCACATTAATGATTTCAAGTATTTTGGACTTTTTATATATCTATACATATGTTGTTGTTGTTATTTGCCATCGAGTTGGACCCGACTCATAGCGACCCCTCCTTGGGTTTAAGAAGCAGTATCACTATGGAAGTAGATTGCCCTATCTTCCTTCTGAGGAGTGGCTGGTGGGTTGGAATCGCTAGTCTTCTAGTTAGCAGTCAAGTGGCTTAGGCACTATGCTACCAGAGCTCCCATATATACAGATACATAAAAATGTTTGTGGTTTTAAAAATTCGTATAAAATGCTATCACACTCTACAAATATTTTAAATATTTATTTTTTTCTCTCAGTTCTGAGATATGTCCAAGCCAACTGCAACCAGCTCTTGTTCACTCATTTTAATTGCTGTAGAGAATTCACTGCATGAATATACTGAATCTGAATCTCCATTTCCCTGTTGATAAACACTTCAAATGTTGCCAATTTTTTGCTCTTGTTCATGACGCAGAGGCTATGTTTGTGCAAGTTGGCTTGCACATTATACAGAAAGAATTAACATAGCAGCCTGACTGCTATACTCTGAAAGCCCTGATTATAAGGTTGTCCCTTGGCTGGCATTACTACCTATGGAGGTTACCTTTGTGTGTCAACTTGGCTGGGCCTGGTTGAGTGGCTGGGCAGCTGGTGGTAGTTATTCCCCATGATGAGACTGGCAATCAACTCCATGGTGGGGGGATCTACCACAAACAGCTGAATAGCTGCTTTGGGTATGTGCTCTGCTTCCTGTATATAGGACGCAGCTTTGGGAATGGTCTCTAGCTTATGGCACACTTGGACCCTGCATGTAGCCCGCTGTTCAGCAGCCTGCCATGCTCTGCCGACCTTGGGACTTACAATGGACTTGAATTAATGGCCTGCCGTGTGGTTTGGTAACATCAGGACTGTATCTTTTTACTTGTCAACCTTGGGTTTGTCAGCCTCAGCAGCCAGCGGCTGAGTGAAAAAAAGCCTCTAGCTCCAGTGGGCCGGGAGCAGGAGGCAGAGCTGGACCCCAAGGTTGAGGGGCTATCACCCAGCCCCTAGAGCCTGGCACTTTGAACTTGGACTTAAAGCCTCCAAACTGTAAGAGAATAAATTCCTGTTTGTTAAGGCCATCCCATTTGTGGTATATTTCTGTCAGAGTGGCACTAGGTAACCATAACACCAGCCTAACTGCCAAGAGTGGCTCACTATGACTAAACTATTGGTGCAAACAATATGCTTTATGCTGAACACCTACCTTCCTTTTGGGAGCCTGGAATTTTGGTAAGTACTAGGCATAGAGAGCCTGTGTAAACCAACCAGTCCCCAGTAAAAACTCTGGGAAATGTCCAATGTCCAATGATCTTCCCTGCATAAGCACACATGTCAGCACCAATACCATCACAACTCATTGCTGGGGAACTAAGTGTGTTGTGAGTGATTCTACTAGAAAAGGACTTATGGAAGCTTGTACCTGGTCTCCTCCAGCCTTTACCTCTTGTGAATTTTCCCTTTGCTGATTATGCTCTGTGTTCTTTTGCTGTAATGTATCTTAGCCTTGAGTACAAGTATATGCTCAGTCTTCCTAGTGAATCAAGGTAGCATAGTGCCTAAGGCATCTGAGTGCTAATCAGAAGGTTGGTGGTTCAAATCCACCAGCCACTTCGTGGAAGAAAGACTTGGCAATCTACTTCTGTAAAGATTTACCGCCTCAGAAACCCAATGAAGGTCGCTATGAGTCGGAATCGACTAGATGGCAGTGGGTTTGGTTTTTTTTTTTTTTTTTTTTTTTTGTGTCTTAGTGCAGTCACTCCTCTAAAGGAAGATGGGGTAATCTACTTCTGTAGTGGTACTGCCTTGGAAACCCAACGAGGGGTTGCTATGAGTCGGGTCTGACTCGACGGCACATAACAACAACTACAACAACAGTGAATAATCAATCGTAGGGGCGGTCCCGGGGATCCCTGACACACATGTAATAGTTTCTCTAGAACTAGAATCCCTGGCCCATGGGATATGCACATATTTAGTAACAGTTTACTCTTCAAGGTAGATGCATAAATTTATACCCTGTCCAAGTTTGAGAGTTCTTGCTCCTTACACCCTTAGCCAATGCTTGGTAGTGTCAGACTTAAATTTTTGCCAGTCAGATATTTGTAAAATGGTATCTCAATGCTTTTTCCCAAGGAAATACTACACAACACACTTCTTGGCTAGGTATAGCTAATTTGATAATAAAGTATAATTTCTACACTATTACTAAGAGATTTCCTATTTCAGATGTGAGGTTAACTCCACAGATGTTTTTAAAAGTAGCCAAGCATTATGTAATTGAAATTAATTGGAACTGGATAAAAGTACAGAAATGTCATATAAGGAAATGGTTATTCATAAAAAATTTGTATGACAAAAACAAAAAAAACCACCAAACTCACTGCTGTTGAATCTGATCTGACTCACAGCGACCCCTCCTTGGGTTTCTGAGGTGGTATCACCAAGGAAGTAGACTGCCCAACCATCCTTCTGAGGAAGGTTTGAACTGCCAATCTTCTGGTTAGCAGTCAGACACCTTAGGCACTACGCCAAAGATAAATTTTTTCCTTAATTATCTAACATAATAAACAATTATAGAAGTTCACCCCAGGTAAACACTGCATTAATATTCTGATCTAAAATTGCTACTCTACCTAGCATCAATTTGCCAGAAAGTTATCTGTCACTTCTAAAATAGGTTTCAGGGGCTAAACCATGGTAGGAGACTATACACTATTACCATCACCTTGGACCTTTCTAAAAGCAACACTGAGAAATACAATATAGTTGAATTTGCAGTTAGTGTACTGCTTTAGTCTCTACACAATAACTAGTAAAGTATAAACAAATTCCTCTTTAATCCAGTATTATGTAAAACTAGTTTTTACTCTTTATGGATCTAAGCCTTTACATCTACCTGACATAAATGCATTATAATAAATTAATAGAATCTCAGCCTATATAACCATGAGACCAGAAGAACTAGATGATGCCCAGCTACCACTGTCAACCACTCATCAGTACAGGAGATCTTGGATACAGTGGGAGAACAATATGGAACAAAACTCAAAATCATTAAAAAAAAAAAAAAAAGACCAGGTTTACTGGTCTAATAGAGCATGGTGAAACCTCCAAGACTATGACCCCTAGTTACCATTCAGGTCTGGAATTCAACTCACTCCCACAGCTTTCAGACAAACAATGGACAGGCATATAGGATGAACATTTACATGAGGTAGATACATTTCTTAGAACAATCAATCATGAAAGAAGGGCAGTATTTGAAAAAGGGAGATACCTTAGAGGGCAGGAATGCATAGAAAAGAGGGACACAGGGAAGAGGTAACTACAGGGAGGAAGTGAGAAGAGAGCTGTTACACTGTGGGGAATTGCAGTCAGTACCATACAACAAAATATGTATGGACTACTGTATGGAAAATGATTTTGCTCTGTAAACTTTCACCCAAATCACAATAAAAACTTAAAAAAAATAAATTCATGGAAATCTTAGGGGAAAAAATATTTCATGTTTTACTGGTAGGACCGTCACCTGATTTTGTTCAAGAAAAATGTGTTTTAAAATTGTCAAATCACCTTAGTTAAAATTTTCCTGAGTGTTTTTAACTGTATAACTACCTCAATAAGGACTAGGAAGCATATTTCTATTTCACATTTAGTCTTTCTACCTATGCATCAAAGTACTGGAATGTTTTATAGCTCATTATACAGCTGGATCAAAAGACTGGAGATTTCATAAGCACAACTCATTTACTTACCTAAACTTCCGCCTGCCATTGCAGACTGTAGTGCAGCAGCCAAACTTGGGACCATCTGACAGTAGTACACTGTATCTGCACACATACAGGCTGCAGTGCCCACTGCTCCTGGCCAACTCCGAATAGGCCGGGGAAACCCCACCAAGAACACAGGAAGGGTAAAGAGAGGAAGTAAAGGAGAAGAAAGTACTGTAGAAAAAACTATGAAGAGCAACACGAACGGAGAGAAGACAATGTTGAGTATACATAAAGTGGCAGTTGATTTTCGACGTTGTTTTTCCTCCATCCATGATGCCAAAAGTACAGTCACAGCAAACTGTAATTTAGAGATGAACTGAATCAGACGATCACGCACAATACCAACCTGCAGAGATGCAAAAACGATTTGTATTTATTCTCAAAGACTTGTCATGAAGTTTCAAGACTACAAAAGGAAATATAGCATAATAATTTTATTCTTGAGCCAATACTTTTTTTGGGGAAACAGTCCTCATATGCAATTTTTTGTTATAATTTTTCTCCAACCTCACAATTAATGAGTCTATAGTTTCAAAAGTTTGGGATCTCTTTAGGAAAAAAAAAGTTAACACTAAGGAGAACCAGATAAGAGTATTACCTATATCTTAAGGCTGACTAACATGTTTTTGAACTCATGAGACCACAAGTAGTAGAAATTAACCAATGGGTTTCTCAAGAAAAGTAAATATAAACTGTGGAAGCCATTTTGTATATCCAGTCATCTTGACTAAGTTGATGACATTTTGATGGTGACATTTTAATGCAGTCTAGAAAAAAAAAGCCATAATATTTCCAACTTTCGAAAACTACTAAGTCACTTGTAAAACAGATATCCTCATTCCAACTCCTAGAGTAGAAACAGGGCTAAGCTGATCAAGGATTTTTTTTCCCCACATATTATTTAATGACCAAAAAAGGCATACTTTGCATTTTGATGCAGTTAAGTCAAAATGTCCAACTTCCTCTAACTAGTAAAGACATAGAGATCTCTATCTTGCACCTCAAAGAATGAAAAAGTCTCCATCAAAAGGAAGCTTATTCTCATAGTTACTTATAGTTAAAAATTTTATTTTGGAATTAAAATATAATCTAACAATTTAATTAGGAGCTCTGGTAGCATACTCGACGGCAAACAACAACAACAACAACAACAACAATTTAATTATCTCTAATTCTCTTATTTTTATAATATTTAATAATATAATAAATCCAAAGTAGTATTATTCCAACATGTTATCAATATTAAGAAATGTTAATGAGGTATTTTTGTACTAAGTCTTTGAAATGTAGGATATATTTTACACTCACCAGTTGCTGTTGAATCTATTCTGACTCATGATGACCCTATATATGTCAGTGTACAACTGTGCTCCATACGGTCTAACAGAAGGCTGGCAGTTCAAACCTCCCAGCCACTCCTTGGAAGGAAGGTTGAGCAAACCACTTCCATAGTGATACGGCCTTGGAAACCCAAGGAGGAGTCACTATGAGTCAGGTCCTACTCAACGGCACATAACAACAATAAAACAATAACCTATGTTAAGAGAAGAGGAGCTCTGGTGGCATAGTGCCTAAGGCATTTTGACTGCTAACCAGAAGGCTGACGGTTCAAACCCACCAGCCACTCCTCGGAAGGAAGGTTGGGCAATTTACTTCCACAGTGATACCACCTCGGAAACCCAAGGAGGGGTCGCTATGAGTTAGATGCGACTCCACGGCACATAATAACAACAATAACTTTTTTAGAAGTGGATTGCCAAAAAAAAAAAAAAAGAAGAAGGTGGGGACCAGGTTTGCTGGTCCAATAGAGCCTGGTGGAACCACTGAGACCATGGTCCCTAGCTGCCCTTCAGGTCTGGAAGTGAACCCACACCTGTGGTTTCCAGCCAAACAAAGTACAGGCATGTGAGTTAAACATTTACCTCAAGTAGACACACGCCCTGGAGAGAACAATCATGGGAGAAGGAAGGGTTGCTTATGCACAGGGAGAGCTCAGGGCGCAGAAGAGTATGAAGGGATGGACACTGGGAGGAGGTAACTATGGGGAGGAAGTGGGAGGGGAGCTGTTGCATTGTAAATTTTGGTCAATGACATGAGACAAAGTATATGTGAACTGCTGTATGAAAAGTGAATTTACTCTGTAAATCTTCACCCAAATCAAAATAAAATTTAAAAAAAAAAAAAAAAAGAAGTGGATTGCCAAGCCTTTCTTCCAAGGTTATAGATTTCTACCTCAAGGAAACACGGAGGCAGATGAACAACTAAAAGTGAGGTTATTCAGAGTCTTCTGCAGTGGTTTCTCAAATAGTCCTAAACAAATTTTCATTTGGTTTCCACACTGTCAAAACATAAAACATTCTCCCCTGTGAGATCAGAAACTTCTTTTCTCCTAATCAAACCAATTAATGTTACGAATTACTTCACATGTATACTACACTGAACTATATAATTAGTTGTGAAAAAAATTATTTGCTTCCAAAATTTATACTGATCTACCTGGTTTCACAATCTTCTACTAGAATTACTGTTTATTTTCTCAAAAGATGTGTATTTTTGTACTATATATAAAAATAAAAGATCTGTAGAATACAAAAATGTGGCTGGTCTCCTCAATGTTAACTGCAAAGGGTAAAACACCCCTCCAAGCATTTCTATTTCCTGTAATTACCCACCATAAAAATAGCCTTATGTAAATCTTTTGAAATCTGTTTTCATTTTGTGCTACCATGTGGGTAAATGAGGTTTAGTGGCTTACTGGCTGTGCTGTGTGGCACAGAACTATCTCCTGTTTATCTACATGTTCAAACTTCCTCAAAGAAATGCAACAATGAAATGTCCTTAGAGAGAAATGGGCACTCTCTTAACACTGCTGATACATGACTGAATATAAAGTAGAATAACCTTTCTGGAAAGCCATGTGGCAACATGAATCAATAGCTCTAAATATGTCCTCAACTTTTGGTCCAGCAATTCTACTTGTAGGAATCTATCCTAAAGAAATAAAGGATATGTACAGTGATTCATCAGAAGCAAGACTGGGCAATCTACTTCCATAAAGATTTACTGTCTTGGAAACCCAATGGGGTCACTATGAGTTGGAATCGACTTGATGGCAGTGGGTTTTTTTATAGTGATTCAGTTACAAGGATCATCACTGCTTCTATTAGTAAGGAAAATATGAAATTTTTTTTTAAAAGTCAGTGGATTGTCTAATTAGATTAAATATACATGTACAATGGACTACAATAAGAAAATGATGAAAAATAAGAATATTTTTCTTAATAAGGCTGTTCACAGTGTGGTGTTACAGATTACAACATAACACGCACAGTGTATATGATCTCATTTCTGTTGATAAAAGAACATACAACTATGAATAAAAAGGCCTGGAAAGATGTACACCAAAATTATAAACAGTGATTCTGTCTAAATTTCTGGTAGAATTATAGATGACAAAACTGATTCCACTTTTGTTGTAACAAAAAATCAGTAAGCTATTAAAACAAACCATTATCACAGTCAAAGCTGCACTGAAGGAACTGGTGAAAAACAAGGCTCCAGGAATTGACTCAATAACCATTGAGATGTTTCAACAAATGGATGCTGTGCTGGAGGCACTCACTCATCCATGCCAAGGGATTTGGAAGACAGTTACCTGGCCAATTGACTGGAAGAGATCCATATTTGTACCCATTCCAAAGAATGGTGATCCCACAGAATGTGGAAATTATTAAACAGTATCATTAATATCACACGCAAGTAAAATCTTACTGAAGATAATTCAAAAACAGCTGCAGCAATATAGAGATAGCTTTCAGAAATGCAAGCTGGATTCAGAAGGGGATATGGTGTAAGACATATCATAGCTAATTTCAGATGGATTTTGGCTCAAAGCACAGGATACCAGAAAGATGTTTACTTGTGTTTTATTGACTATGCAAAGGCATTCAATTGGGTGGATCATAACAAACTGTGGATAACATTGAGAAGAAGAGGAATTTCATAACACTTAATTATACTCACCAGATGGCTGGCGGTTCAAACCCATCAGCCACTCCTCGGAAGGAAGGTTGGGCAATCCTACTTCCGTAGTGATAACTGCCTCGGAAACCCAAGGAGGGGTCGCTATGAGTCAGGGCTGACTCGACGGCACATAACAACAACAACAACAACAATTATACTCATGAGGAAACTGTATGTAGACCAAGAGGCTGTTGTTCGAACAGAACAAGGGGATGTTGCATGGTATAAAATCAGAAAGGGAGTGCATCAGGGCCATGGCCTTTCATCGTACTTGTTCAATCTGTATGCTGAGCAAGTAATTCAAGAAACTGGACTATATGAAGAAGAACATGGCATCAGGATTGGTGAAAGGTTCATTAACAACCTGTAGTATGGATATGACAGAACCTTGCTTGCTGAAAGTGAAGATGACTTGGAACACTTACTGATGAAAATTAAAGACTGAAGTCTGCAGTATAGATTACACCTCAATATAAAGAAAACAAAAATCCTCACAACTGGACCAATAAGCAGCATCACAATAGATGGAGAAACAATGAAGTTGTCAAAGACTTCATATTGCTTGGTTCTACAATCAATGCCAATGGAAGCAGCAGTCAAGACATCAAAAGATGTATTGCATTGGGCAAAGCTGTTGCAAAAGATCTCTTTCAAGTTCCCAAGGGCAAAGATATCTCCTTGAAGACAGATGTGCTTGACCCAAGTCATGGTATTTTCAACCACCTCATATTCTTGTGAGAGCTGGACAGTGAATAAGGAAGTCCAAAGAAGAATTGATGCTTTTGAGTTGTGGTGTTGGCGAAGAATGCTGAAAGTACTGTGGACTGCTAAAAAAACTAACAAGTCTGTCCTAGAAGAAGTGCAGCTGGAATGCTCCTTGGAAGAGAGAATGGCCAAACTTTATCTCACCTACTTTGGCCATGTTGTCAGAATAGACCATTCTCTGGAGAAGGATGTCATGCCTGGTAAAGTGGAGGGTCAGTGAAAGAGGGGAAAGCCCTCAACGAGATGGACTGACATGATGGCTGCAGCGATGGACTTGGGGGTAGTAGGGATTATGAGGTTGGCACAGGACCAGGCAATGTTTCGTTCTGCTGTATAGAGGGCCACTATGAGTCGGAGATGACTTGACGGCAACTAACAACAACAACATTATCACAGCAAAACAAAAACAAACAAATCCAATAAAGGTACACCCTTCAAGTGGCTAAATATCAATTGTTCAGTTTGTCAAAGGGAAGGAATGTGACAGAAACCAGAAACTGCCTCCCTGTGCTCTTTTTTTTAACATAAATGCTTGTATTACAAGAGAAACAACAGGAG